GGGGAACTCAAAGGCTTTGATTCTTCACCTGTCATCCTTATTCATTGTCCAGCTCTCCGAGGCACACTAACATAGACATATATATAATTCACAAGTATTTTTATATTTGTAAATCTGCCATCACGTCAATTCTAACTCCTGATGACCCTCCAGCGGGTTTCGGAGGCCATAAATCTCAGGAAATTGCCTATCTTTTTCCCAAGGAGCAGTAGGTGTATTTGAACTGTCTACCACTTATTTAGCAACCCAATACATAACACCAGACCTCCAATAATTTGCTAAATAGTTATCATTGTTGTTGTGTGCCATTGAACTGGAACCAACCAATAGATGACACCCTGGTGGGTTTTCAGAGGCAGTTAATCACATGAGACAAGATTGCTCTTCCTTCACCTGCAGAGCAGAGCACCTCCTGCCTTCGGGATTACAGCACAGCCTCTTAGGTCCACACATGTTGATAGGACTTAATATAGAGAATGACCATCATCAAAATAGTTTCTAATAAAGAGCACACTATATGAGGTGTGGTGCTGGAGAAGAGTATTGAACACATCATGGACTATCAAGAAAACAAACAGATCTGTCCGGGAGAGATACAAAGCAGCTTGCTTCTTGGAGGCAAGGATTTTGAAGCTTTGTCTTTGGCCATGTCTCCAGGAGGGACCAGTCCTTGGAGAGGGACACCATGCTTGGAAGGGTAGAGGGTCAGTGCAGAAAAGGAAAGGCCCTGGATGAGATGGCTTGACACAGTGACTGTGGCAATGGAATAGGGTGGGTCAGACATGGTGAGGTTGCCTCAAGAAAGGTCAAGGGTTAGAGCCATTCTTTATAGAGTCAGTATGAGCTGTCAGTGGCACATAACACCAGCAACACTCCAGCCATCTTCATGATACATTAATGATAATTTTAAGAAATAAGACTAAAGCTCAGTCATTAAGTGTATGCCTTGTTCAACTAATTATGAGTATGCATAGTAGACATTCTTCTAAAGACTACTGACTGAGTGCACTTTTTGAAAGTGAAACATTTTATTGTCACCTGAGGGGTTTTCCTCATTAGCATTCTTTAAAGGGAAGAATCAAGAAACAATATTTCAACTCCTTTATCTTTTTAGCCCTTTCAAACGCTTTAGTTTCTAAACACTAAAGTATTTGGATTACTTTATCCCCTAGGTCTCTTCCAGCTCTAAAAGTAGTCCAACAACATGCTTGTGTTCTTTGAGAATTTGGGGCAGTTCCAGAAAATCTCAAATCACAAAGAAGTTGTCATTGTCTTCCTATGGAACAACAGAGCAAAAGTTGCTAACAGTTACTGCTCGTTCCACCTGATACTCTATAAATGGTTGTTGACACTGACACCAGATGTCATGGAAAATCTTGCATCATTAGGAAGCAATGGGGTGGGGAAGGAACCTGTGTGAGAATGTCAATAAAATCTATTTAAAAATCAACCTTACAAATAAATGTACTTTAAGAATTTAGAGACAAACTCAAGATACCAAGACTAACATAACAGATTACACATAAGATAGAAGTACAGACATTCTTCAAGATCTCAACATTGATTACACACAGTAAATGTTCTGTATATTGGAAGGGCCAGCTGCCCTGGAGTATAATAACTAATTATTAATGTGAATATTGTCCCTTAAAAAAGGACTGAGTTCCTCTTATAAAATCCCATTGGACTTCATCATTCCATATATACTGTAAGGAGATGTAGTATCATCTTTGTATTATTTATTTGAGAGGCGGAAAGCAAATTAATTACCTCCAAGTATTGCCCATGTCCCGTTAGTTATTAATGGTCTAGAGAGTGAATCCGGATCAAATCATCACCTTCTTTGTACATAGTTATGCTGACCATTTCTCTCACAGTGCCCTGTATCAACAGAAAACTGTTGGTGATCTTACCTTTATGGCTAGTTTTCAGCAGTCAGTACAGTGGGACAGTGGCAGATAAGATGCTGTTGATACTCCTTTTTAAGACAATAGCCACTGATTAGGTGAGAAGTTCTGCTCTTTCTGTTTTTGTAATAGTCTATAACCACAAATTATCTTCCTTTCTGGAGGCCTTCAGCACTCAAGCTAACCTACTTGCCAATGAACTTTTGTAATACAAGAAACATAGTTTTAAATTAGAGGCTGTATGGGTGTGGGTTATTAAAATCAGAATTAATGTGCTCTGGCTTTAAGAGGTGGTGCTGCAAACTCGAAGTCAGGTAGTTTGACTCTAACAGATAGTTTGGCTCAGAATCTTCTCTCCTTATTGCTTCTGAAAACTCTCTGGAGGGTCACCTATGAGTCTGTTCCAACTCAATGGCACTGACAACTACATCCACTCCTAGTTACATAGTTGCTTTAGAATTCTTGACTAATTAAACTCCCTATATCCATGCAGATATTATAACAGGATTAACCAAAGTGGTATATATTCCAAAGAGTTGTCTATAAATCTAATTTGTGTAATAATTTTAATGTTTCTTTAGAGCAGACCCTTTAAAGCAGTCGTTTATTGAAACATAAAGCAAATAATCCTTTACTAAAGTCAGTAATCACACTAGTTTTTCAGCTTGCATTCTATATCACATTTTATATTTACTTTAATATAAATAGAATAGCATTTACTTTTACTTTTTGCCTAAAAGAGACACATACACGTGATGCTGCTTCAGCTCTATTAATTTTTTAAACCATACACTGTCATTGCCTTGAAATAGCCCTGCCTTTTCCTGTACATAGCTGCAGCTGAACAGTCGTTGTGAGTACAGAGTGAAGTCCTGGTCCAGATGGATTTATTATTTTCCTGGATGACTCACAAGGCCCTAGTGTGAGGTCTTCTAGGTCATCTCAAGTTATGAATATTTGCCCTAGTCATTCAGAGTTCATGCATGATAAAAATCCAAGGCAACCCATTTATTCTGAATTGGCAGATACACGATGGTTAAGGGCGTAATGCACCCAGCACTGCCCCGAGAGTTTTATTTTGTTTAATAATCAGTGTAAAAACCCATTACTTACTTTAAAAGTTTATTCACCAATAATACTGCATTTTCGCAACAAACTTCAATACCATTAGACGTAAAAAGTACTAATGATTTCTAAAGCAGTTGGAACTCTTGCTTTGATTTAGCCTCCAGTGGACACATTAGGATGTATATGTCTTAGCTGAAATCTCTGACGTTTTAGTGCCTTGAAGATTGAAGGTCACAAAGAAATGGGATCAACTACTGCTTGCAGTTTGATGTGATTTTTCCAGGTTGTTTATTCCAAAATTTAAAAACTGGAAAATAGTTTTTTATTACATTTATGAAGTGTATGACTACCGTCCACCATTATCTTCAATGTGAAAATAAAATGTGAGATATTAACTACTTGATTATATGCTCCACATATATTGCTAGATAGCCAGAGTTCCAAGTAGTTTTAAACGTTAGGATTTACGAAAAATTATTCCATCGTGAAGATCCTTCATAGTCTTAACTTACCTTATTCCAAAAATAAAATGAATTACTATACATTCACTTGTTGAGGTTGTTCCAAAACGCTGTAAACCCTAAACAGTTAGGAGGATTTCCTCACATTTACCACTTGTCAGGATAATCATCAATCTGATGGCAGTGAGCAGCAGTAGCCTGAAGAAGTTTGGTACTTAATGAAAACTTACTTGTCCATACTGATTTCTTGTAGATTCAGCCTGATTTCTTCCAATTTCTGGTTATGGGTCTTGGCTAATTTGCATGGCTGGCTTAATAAATAAATACTGTTTTGGGCTGTGTTTACACAAGGTCAAAACAATGACAGAATTGGGCCAGTTTGTGTGTGTGTGTTTTTTTTTAAAGCTTGTTTCATGAAGTTAGTTGATTTTAGACACAGAAATAATGCTAACTTGGTGTACGGAATGTTGAGATTTGTCAAACAATTGTTTTGACACTTGTAAATTTCATTGTTTCCCAACTTTTTTTCAGTGTGAAACACACTTCTAAATGCCATGTTAGGGAAACATTGAACCATTTTCCCCATATATATTCAAATCCATTTGTTCATCCAGATTAACTTTGGCATGTATAGACTTCATCAGCTTCCTTTTCCTGATGACTTTTCCCCTTCATTTCTTAAAATCCACATACTAGATCCAGAAAAATTAAAAAGTCTGCCATGGTGCCTATTTTCAAAGCACCAGTAAGTCTTGATTCACTAGTTGGGAAGCAGTGATGTAGACACAGCCTGATTCCAAGACTGAATGATGAGTCCTTGAGTAAACTTAAATATCCAAGAATTCTTAGATGCAAAAATACACATAGAAGTAATGCTCTGAATCACACTCTGAAGAAATAAAATTATGTTTTTTAAAAACAAAAATGTCTTGATGAAAAAACTGTCACATTTGGCAAATAGTAGATTCTTTCCGCCTTTAAGAATAAACAGATTCTTAAAGACAGCAATTTTCATACAGAGTAAGTGTCCAAAATTTGTACAGAAATTGTTTGGAAACTTTGAGGAATCAAAATCACTACATTTGGGTCCAAACTCTTGAAGTCAACTAGGATTTAATTTGTGCAATTTCGTTTGCCAAATGTCTGTAGATTGGTCCAACATTTGCTAACATTTTGCCAAGATTCCTTCTGCTGAAAATCTCTGCATTCTGTTAAGTTCTAAATCAATGTCTGAAGCCAACACTGGACCTCAAGGGGCCCTTTAAAACATGTGAGCAGGTCAAGACAGGTGTTTCCATCCATTTGATCTCTCCCTCAAGTGTATTCTTTCTTCCACCTCGTATCTCTCCAGTGCATTTATGCATCTGTCTGAAGCCTGCACACATGGCGATTTTTAATCATTTTCTAGCCATATTTTCTCTAGGATATAGGAATGGCAATCTCCAGGCAAGAAGACAGTGCATGATGTTTCTTTTCTTCTACTCTTATAAAATGTTATTTTTAAATAGTGACTTAAAATAGTTAATCACCTCATTCTCTTTTTTTCCCCCCTTTCTAAATAAAGCCTGAGAATTTGCTTTTAGCTAGCAAATCCAAAGGAGCAGCTGTGAAGTTGGCAGACTTTGGCTTAGCCATAGAAGTTCAAGGAGACCAGCAGGCATGGTTTGGTGAGTGAGATACCTCTTCTTCATGCCTTCTGGCTATCTTGGTACATCCTACTTGCTGATCAAAAGAAAATGGAAATGTACATCCTAACAACAACTTGTCAAATATTAAGATATTAGTATATCAAACGCATGTAAATTTTACTAACATTGAAGGGTGTATATAGTGCTGCTTCTTGTTGTTGTTAGGTACCGTCAAGTATGACCCACGACTCATAACAACAACAACAACAATAAGGATAACAGAAGAAGAATTGATGCCTTTGAGTTATGGTGTTGGAGAAGAGTACTCAATATCCCATGGACAGCCAAGAGAACAAATAGGCCTTGGAGAAAGTTTAGTCAGAATGCTCCTTGAAGATAAAGATGACAAAGCTTCATCTCACATAGTCTGGACATATTTTCAGGAGAGGATCCAAGCCATGGTCTTCTCAGTTACTTCCTATGCATCTTAGAGTGAATAATGAATAAAGATAATATACTAATCATCAATCCTTTTGAGTTGTGGTGCTGGAGAAAGGTCTTGAACATACCAGAGAATTCCCGGAGAACAAATAGGTAGGTTTGTCTTGGAAAGGGCGAAACGAAGTGTCTCCTTTGAGGCAAGGATTTTGAAACTCCATCACATATACTTTGGGCATGTTGCCAGAAGGGACCACTCCTTGGAGAAGGACATCATACTTGGAAGAGTAGATCAATGCATGAGAAGAGAACCTTGGATGAGACAGATTGACCCAGTTAGGTGGATTGACATAGAGGCTGGGGCATTAGGGACAAGTGTGTCAGATACAGTGCAGTTGGTTCAAGATAGGGCAGGATTCAGAGCTATTGTTCATAGAGTCACTATGAGTCATAGCTGACTCGATGATACATAACAATAATAACTAATGTGATCCCTGATAGCTAAGTGCACCACTTGTTGGACTGCTAACCCAGAGATTAGAGGTTTTAATCTTCCAGACACTCCAGTGGAGAAAAATGAGATCATTCCCTCTCTTAAGCTTCAAAAGCTCAATGGAGAATGGAGGGTCATCGTGAGTCGGAACCAATCTGATGGAAATAAGACACATACATTTTTTATGTGAGAGTGGGAGAGCCGGAAAAGATGCTTTTAAAAACATTCTTAAGTGTTAAGTGAGAAAATGGAAACTATGTTAGGAATTAATAAAAGGGTTTCAATATGTTTTAAAAATATTCTTATTTGAGAGAAAATTTCCCTCTCTTTTCACATTTTTGCAACCTAAAATAATGACCAAAGCCTGCTATATAAAAAATAAGTAGATATTCAGGAAACACAGGTTATTTCACAAGTTTTGTGACTGTTGAGTTGAAATTTTCCTTTTTAATGCATTATCTTCTTGTTCTCCAAATTTCTGATTCTTTCTCTGAAATTCTGATAATTTTGACATTTTTTAAAAATTATTTATTAATTTTAATGAAAGTTTACAGAAACTTAGGATTTCCAGTCATTCATTGTTGCACTTTTCTCCCTGCCCACCTCCCTCCCCCACATCACTCTTCTCCTTGAAAATAAAAAGAAAAACTCTTTCATACTTATGCAGTCCCTCCCTGCAGGTTCACTCTACCATGCAGCCTTCTCTCTGGACTTCTGTAATGACAAGAATACCTATTCATATGTCCCTTTTAAACAGTTCTCTCCCTCATCTGTTTCAGTGCAATATATGATGACATTTGTTCCCTGGCTATTAAGGAAGAAATTAATTCTAGATAAGTTTATATTTTATTTCTAACCATTATAGATTGTTTTAGTAGTCAACCCAAGTTATTATTTCCTTCACTGATTTTCTTGGGCCTTTATATATTATACACTAGTATTCACACATTTTTATATTCAACTCTTTGCTGTCAGGTTGATTACAACTCATATTAACCTCTATTGGATTTCCCAGACTGTAAATCTGGGAGGGAGACTGTCCATATTTCTCCCACAGAGCATCTTGTGGTTTTAAACCATTGACCTTTCATTAACAATGCAATAGATTATGCTGCATGCCACCAGAACTCCTTCATTTTTCTATTGTAGTCTCTAAAATGAGGAGGAGTACTACATCTCACCCTAATTCTTTCAGCTTATACAGGCTAGTCACATCACATCATGGAGCTGATTATTATTGTTGTTGTTGTTGTTGTTATGTACCATTGAGTCACTTGCAACTCATAGCAACCCTATGTACAACAGCCTTGAAACCTGCTCTATTCTCTACCACCTTTATTGTCTCTGACACACCTACTCTCATTACCCCAGTCACTGTATCGATCCATCTCATTGAGTGTCTCCCTCTCTTTCTCCATCCCTCCACTCTCCCAAACATGGTGTCTCTCTCCAAAGACCGGTCCCTCCTTGCAACATGCCCTAAGTATGTCAGACAAAGCTTCAGAATCCTTGACTCCAAGGAGCAAGCTGGCTTAACCCTCTCCAGAACCTGTTTGTTCTCCTGGCAGTCCATGGTATATTCAAAATGTCTCTCTAGCACTGCACCACAAAGGCATCTATTCTCTTCCTATCATTCCCTACTCATTGTCCAGCTCTCTGATGCATAGCAAACAATTGTGAAGACTGTGGCCTGTATCAGGAGCACCTGGGTGTCCATACTGGCATAATTGTCCTTCAGTACTCTGGAGAGGTCTCTGACAGCTGGCTGATTACATTATTACAAAAACTGCTAAACCATTGAGAATCATGTCCCAGCCAAGTTGGCATATATTTTGGAGGGACACAGTTCAGTCTATGACAATGTGAAGCACAAGTTAAAATGTCTGGAAATTTTAGTGAGTTAATGACTGAGTGAAAAACTTACTATCACATTAATGAAAGTAGCTGTATCCTAAGAGAGATACGTTCATTTTCAAATTGTAATAGTGCAGTTTTTAAATTTTGTTACTATTTTCTTTTTTCTGTGTGTACCATCAAATCGAATCTGACTGGTACAGGAGGTGACAGCCCCTCCTTTTCCAGCAGAGCATGGTGGATTCAAACTGCATACCTCTGGGATTGCAGTGCACCTTCTTACCACTACGGAGCAAGATAAATGGAGAATAAAACTCTCATTATTCAGTAGATTTATGAGTTTTGTTAAGGTACCTGTTAGAGCAATGACTTTTAATGCATGAATTCCATGATTTTAAGGGAATTAGGTATTTTCTGACGGTAGAAAGAACTCTTGTGGTATAGTGCGTTAATGTGTTTTCAGCTAAACCAGTGGCTGGTTACTATGAATTGAAATTGACTTCATAGTGGTGGTTGATTTTTTAGTGGATGCAAAACCATAGTATGTAAACTTAAGATACTGCAATCTTGCCTTCCCTTTTTTTTTAAATTTAATTGTACTCAAATTCAGATTATCATGGGAAACCAAATAAGGGGGAAAGAATCAGCTTTGGTATATTTTGCCAGATATATATTTGTTTTGTTTTGTTTTGTTTTGTTTTCTTTGAAGGGAAAACTATCTAGGATTAATTTCTTTTAGAGTAATTGACCCCCTACTTAAAGACACATAGCCCTACATGTAACAGCTATGTACAAAAAGTTATAAAATTGTCCTTGGTTTTACAATGATAAATGAAAAACATTAAAATTCTCCAATCAAATATGTAAGGATTTTTTTTTATGTCGTTTTTTGTTAAACAGTGAGAACAAAATAGCTTATTGGAATTAAAGATAAGAGCTGAATGAGCATGCCACTTAGGGAGAGAGGGGGTATTTTCACAGAACCAGTATTTTTCCCCATCCCATCTCCACTAGATGTTGCCAGATATATTTTGATATTAGGAGTGAGTGCTTGGTTTAATGTGAATGATTTGTTCCATATTCTATTCTTATTTGCCATCATACTCTGAGAATTTAACTGATTAATTTTATCGTTTTAAATTTCATGTTAATGGCTTGTAGAAATAATTACTTCAGTAATAAAGATAATGATGGTATTTCAAGTTTTTGCATAATTTTATATCTGTAATATGTGTATTACAAACTAAACTGATACAAGGCATTTTAGGAGTCCTTTTAACTTTTCTATGGAAATCTGAAAAATACTTATTGTTTTGTTTATTTTTACATATTCTCTTCTGTCTACTTAACTCTGATTCAAAGAACATAAACTCAAAATTCAATGAACATAAACTCAAAATACTGTGCCACTAGACTTACTAAGATGACTAAAAAAATTAGTCATTGAAATAGCTAAAGAAAGCCTATGACATTGTTTTATTGTTGTTATCTGACATGGAAAGTGTTATTTGCTATATGTCTCTAAATTTTTGTTGCTGGTAGAAAAAAAGGATGATAACCATAATCTCAGGAATCTCTGGTGGCCTAATGGTATGGAGTTGCACTGTCACCCCAGAGGTGGTGGTGGTGGTTGTTATGTGCTGTCGAGTCGCTTGTCACTCATAGCGACCCTGTGTATAACAGCATGGATCAAATCTACCAGCTCTTCTGCGGAAGAAAGATAGGCTGTATCCTTCTGTGTGATTTTCACCTATAAAAACTCACAGGAGGGTCAGCTATGCATTGTTTCTGACTCAACAGGATACACTATCATCACCACCAACCATGATCTTATCTGCTTGCTTGCTGTAGTATGCCTCTTTGTAAAATATTAATGTATTTTTAAACAGCAAAGTTGCAGTCTAACACACTAAATAATGGAGTCATTTCCAGTAAATCTTTTTTTAATTTTTTCTTTACTCTGTTCTGGTGTTCCTATTGGCTCTTTTCTGGATAAGAAACATGTACTATCTTTAAAGAAGATAAGCTTTTTTAAATTTCCCTCTTGATAACACCTCATACCTAAAGTCTTACTAGTTCATTTCCTTCTAAAAAAGACCTTCTTTCTTATACCCCTAATGTATCTGTATTCCTGTGCAACTTATAGCCTCTTGGTGGCAATGAATTTCCATGTTATGGGTTTTCTATATGCTTAAGATAATAAATGCACTGACTTTCAACACCTACTTTAATTGAGTAAGAGTAGATATTCCTGTGCCCTTTTAGAATGTGTGTCCAGCTCTCTGATGCATAGCAAGTGATTGCAAAGACCATGGCCTGGATCAGGCTCACCTTAGTCTCTAGTCTGATGACATCGCTCCTCTTCAGTTCTTTGGAGAGGTCTCTGACAGCAGACTTTCCTAATGCAGTATGCCTTTAATTAAAATTTCCTGGCAGCTGGTGCCAACAGTGTTGATTGATTACTATTGATTGCCCCAAGGCAAAGAGACATTAATTTTATTCCCATTTTCTCTTGCTTCACCAAGGCCAGAATGTTTAACTCCAGGAGAAATTTATGGTAATATGTATTTAATATATTCTTTTTTATTTTTTTACTCCCATATTGATTTACTTCTCTATCTTTCGTGCTGATAGGAAATATAGTTAACATTTACTGTTCAAGACCCAGTATTCTACTACTTTATTTGAGATACTAATTATTTTATTAATTCTGTTACTGTTGCTACTATTATGTGATATTGAGCCAGAACCAACTCACAGCTGTCCCTCCAGTGGGTTTTCAGAGGCTTTTAATGGCATAAGAAGAGATTTTCTACCTTTCTCTTATATAACAGCAGCTGATGGATTTGAACCATGTGCCCTTGAGTTAGCAACACAACTCCTTACCACTCAACCACCAGAACTCCTTTTTTTAACTCTAGACAAGAAATTACAGATGAACATAAATGGATGGTCAGAATTTATTATGACAAAAGACCATTGAAAATGACAGATCAGTAAGGAAATGAAAATAATTCTTCGAGTTCTCTCTGGTTCATAGTAATTGAGCCTTGGTGACACAATGGTTGAGTGTTTGGCTGCTAACTAAAAGTTTGAAGTCCAAGCTCATCCAGTGGTTCCTTGGAAGAAAAGACTCCAAACTAGAAAACACTGTGGGACAGTTATTGAACTCTGCACATTGGGTCACTATGAGAAGGAAAAAGTAGGGGGTAGAAAAATGAGGATTCATGGACTAGAAAAAGTGGGTAAAAACAGATGTGAAAAATCCCTTTACAAATTTCTTGAAGAGGTGAAACATGTTAAGTACAGAAGCAAACAGAAACCATATTAGCTGAATGAAAGGAACCAGATACTAAGGGATCATGAAATTAAAGGTTACGAATATTGAATTTCATCTGAACTCTGGCATTGATTTATCACTGGGTTCCCTGTGTCTCAGCTTGGTAAGAGCTAGAGAAGTAGGGCTGAGGAGAGAGAGAGAATAGTAAGTAAGATACAGAGATACTGAGAAACTCATTAAGTTACAATACCCATGGACTACTTTGCAATTAACCAACTGCCCGTCTTTCTAGGGATAGTTTCAGACTGGAGGTATCAGAACTACCCTATTTCTCAGTGGTTCTTTTAAACTGACAGCAATCAAGCAAAAGTTTTATTCATATAAAGATAAAGGTAGACATGGATCACTTGTGGTTTATAGAAAGTTTAAGTATAACTCTTCTTAATGCCCACCTATACATTCCAGAATTAACAAGAGGAGAAGTGATGCTAAAGGGGGAAGGGAAACTAAAATTATAAATTCTTTGCCTCATTTACTGATGTAATTTTGTCTGGAGAAACTCTGCCAATGCATACGTGCATTGTTTCATACCTCATTATGCCTTATTTGTGCATAAGTATAAATCTAGGATAGTTATTGTGATGTGCCTTCAAGTTGCCTGAGACTCATAGCGACCCTTTGTACAATAGCGCTGAACCCTGCTCTATCCTAAGCCAGTCTCATTGACTCTGACTCGCCTAACCTGACTGACTCCAACACAACTAATGCTGCTGCCCCATGTCAATCCATCTCGTCTCTGTTTTTCTCCTGCACTGTCCCTCCACCCTTCCAAGCATGATGTCCTTCTCCAAGGACTGATCCCTCCTGGGCACGTGTTCAAAATATGTGAGGCAGAGCTTTATAATTGTTGCCTTCGAAACTTGGTTTCACCATCTCCAAGACAGACCTATTTGTTCTCCTATTTGGTCCATGGTATGTTCAAGACTCTTCTCCAGCACCACAACTCAAAGGCATCAGTTCTTCTTCAGACATCCTTAGTCATTGTCCAGCTCTCTAATGTATAGCAAGTAATTGTGGCCTGGAAGACCATGGTTGGGATCAGATGCATCTCAGCCTCTTGAATGACATAATTGCCCTTTAGCACTTTGGAAAAGTCCCTAACAGCACACTTCCCCAGTGCAATTCACGTGTTGATTTCCTGAATACTGGTGCCAACGGTGCTGTTTGAGTGTTTATGATGGAGACAGGGAAAAACTTTCTTTCTTGGGCACTTTGCATTCTAGTAAATAAAGAATGTACTTTGTCAAGTGAATTCTTGTTAATATATTAATGTTTTTAAATTTTTTCTTTTCTTAAGTCTTATAAAGACAAAAAAGTTCCAAATGAGAATAGTTATTTTTGGTATTTCTTTTACTAATAATTATTTTAGCAAAATCTGGTAATTTAATGGTAAGACGTTGCACTGCAGTCCCAAAGGCTGATTTTCAGCGTCCTCTTGTGCAATTAATTGACTGACTGTGAAAACCCACTAGAGGGTCAGCTATGGGTCGGTTCTGATGCAACACCATGCAATAACAAACATTATTGTATTTGAAAAATTTCTTTTCAGATTTTTTTCTTTTACTGTAAGTGTGCTATCAATTCTTATCTAAGTGCTTCTTATTGAATCCCATATTGATTTACTTAAAGTGAAACTCTCTTTTCCTAACTAGCTTCACTTAACTGCTTAGCACATCTCCTCCTGAAGGGAAAAGGCTAATGGACACTGTTTGAAAGCGACTCATCTGCATAATCCTGAATCTTTTCTTTAGTTGCCCATTATAAGTACATGGTGATTATTTAGTAATACACCATGAGCTCTTTAATGTGTATTCAGCTTACTTATCCTTCTAGAAATTTCTTTTTTTTAATGCCAATATTCCTTTCCTCCACAATTCCTAGAATAGACTCAATTCAATATAAAAAATATTTATAGAGAGTTTGCTTTATATATTTATCATTGGGATATATGTTTTGCTATATATTTTCCTTTCACTGTATAGGTAAATATGAATCATAAAAAGATGTTTTGGTATCATGTAAATCATTGTTTGTGAGGTTTTAGGGGACACAGTGTTTAAAAGACTCGCCTGCTAATTGAAAGGTGGTCTATGAGAGCCCAGGACTGCTCCATGCGGAAGAACCAGGCTGTCTGCCTAGTCATAATTTGCAGTCTTGGAAAACCTATCAGTTCACTCCTACAAGGTCACTCTGAAGTCTGAATTGACTCCATTGTAATGGATAGTGTTGCCTTCCTTATCTTCTTTCTTTTCAATTTTAGTTTTAACTGCTAACTTAAAAAGTAATGAAGAATAACTAACAAAGTAGGCTTAGTACACACAATATTAGACAGTCTGATGAGTTTGCTTTTGTATTAGGAAGGGAACAATGTTTTGGATGGTGTGTGGTGGGATTTTTTTCCCCCCCTAATAGATTAGAAGAAATGACTGGAATTTATATGAGAGAGAGAGAATGGTTTACGTCATTTAGTATTCTGAAATCCTCATTTTATTTTGATAACAACATCAGATAAAGAATGAAATAAGATTTCCTTCCTTAATTTCACCCTTGGTATTGATTGGTTTTTGTCAAGTCTGCTCTAACTCATCACTGTATCTATCTTCCATAGGTTTTGCTGGCACGCCTGGCTACCTTTCTCCAGAAGTTTTACGTAAAGATCCGTATGGAAAGCCAGTGGATATGTGGGCATGTGGTAAGGAACAATGTTCTCCAGCTTTGCTGTAATTTAACATACCTGTTTTCCATTTAAAAGTTCTCAAACTTTAGCATGTCATAAAAGTGTCCAGAGGACTCGTCTGAGCACAAAAGCAGTGTTTCTCGTTCAGTGGACTGCCTAACGTGGAAGAGTTGGCTTTTTAAAAAATGAATTTCCAAGTGATACAAATACTAGTAATCATGGGATCTTTGAGAACACAGACTTGAGCTATTTCCTTCTGTTTATCCTACTGCCTTCCCATGTGATCCCACCAGCTCTTAAAACAACATGTTTCCTTGAAATGCTTGTCAGGAATTAAGAATGAAGTAGTGAAGGAATGAAGTAGTAGAGGAAAAGAAAGAAACTGACTCTTTTTTGGAAACTTGTCTCTTTATGGCCTTTAGCAACTATCCAGTTAAAATCAGAGTGAACTCAGTCCCAAAAAAGTCAAAGATTGATCCACTCTTCACGTTCTCATTTCTTCATCTCCAGTGCCAGCTGCTCCCATGGTACATACATTCTCTTCCTATTCTTCACCTGTCAGAGCTGGGCCAGAGCTTACAGCTCAAAAGGACACAGAGGGTGTTTTAGACTGAGAGAAGGCAAACATCAACCACAAGTTTGGGGAGTCACATAACACCCGAGCCTTCTGACCTGCTGGCCACAAATTTGGTACTCCCCATTTTACTACACCAGCTGCACTCTTACTTTTCTCACCCACTGTGTCCCCCAGTCACTTTTGTTCTGTAATTTTCTTGAAACAATTTACAGACTCCATGGAGAATCTAGAACACAACTGAAGATTGTTTTTATAACCAAAAAAGATGTAAATGGAAAAGTGTATAGGGCAAGGTCTAAGAAGGAAGATTGTTTTTATAACCAAAAAAGATGTAAATGGAAAAGTGTATAGGGCAAGGTCTAAGAAGGTTCCTATGTCTGGAAGGATGTGGTGGCCTCCCTAGAGCAAATGGGCTCTAATTAGAAGACTTGCAACTGGGAAAATCTCAGATCCTTAGGACTATGTGCCCTTATTGATCAGTCCTGCATTGATAAGCTCAGTTAGGTCTTAGATGAAGCTAGTTGAAATCAACTATGGGAGTGTTTTCTGGTCTGGCCAGCCCTCTTTCACCAGCACAGGTGTTTAGAGGAGTCATAGAAATTACAAGCCAAAACACCCCAATGCTGCACAGGCAGAACCCCTCGACTTGCATTAATCTAGATGGTTTTCATTTTGTCCAGTGCAGTCAACTCTGATCTAATCAGTTACCTGTGGAAAGCCCAAAGACACAGAATGGGGTTGATTTTCACTATAGTTTCTGTGTCAAGATATACTTGAAATATGTGAAGATACAAAATAAAGAGGATACTGTAGGATGATGTGATAATGCATTCTGCTAGAGATTATCAATAAACACTAGTTCTCTAGCTCCTTTACCTTGTGTTACCACTTAATGTCTATAAACAAATATGCATTTTCCATAGAATGATCTTATCATACTCAACACAGATTTCATTTCCTTGATATTTGTCAGCAAGTCTGAAAGTAGTTGATTTTTAAAAACAAAAGAGAAAACATTAATTTGATTCTGAAAAATACTTTTCATTTGTTATTTTCTTTTTTTAAATATCAAATGCATTACCATAGTTTCACAATGATAGATTATTCAACAGACACTATGTTTCTTGTTAACTTTATCTCATTAGCAATGGCAGTTTGTTGATTGACCTTAAACTGAATGAATCTTGACCTTACAGAGTTACTGCCATGCTTAGGAAGACAGAAGAAGGGCACTATATTTGAAATCACAAGTCTAGGTCAAAGTCTTTGCTTTGCACCTACAAATCCTGTCTCTTTACTATCTCTCAAGTTGATTTACCTGTAAAATAGGAATATACTCCCCCATTTCCAACTCTATCTTCATAGAATTGTGTGTGGATGTAATAGATGCACCGAGAGAAGGTATTTTATAGTCTATAAAGGAATTTAAAATATAAACACCCATTATTATTTTAAAGGTAGGAATTGCCACTCAGTTAAAAGCTAAAAGTTTTAGATATGCCTCAAGCTTTTTCTTCCTCTTGCATACCTTAGAATATCTTCTAGGTACAAACTCTAAAATGTTTTTGAGTTAGAGCATTGTCAAGAAATGTTCTTGCTCAACCTAAATGTTAATGGCATATCGCTCAAACTTTCTCTTAATAAGTCAGCTCTTTTGTATAGCTCTCTTTCTGTTAATGCACATAAAAGCAGCAGAGTATCCTAAGCCACAGACAGACGCCAGTGATAGTGTAATATACACTGGTCATGTCCCAGAAGAAGGAGCACCTGAGATAATGGGCATCGCATAGATTTTCTTTGCATATATACTCCTGATCATAAGCTCAAACCTTTCTCCATCTTCCCTCCTCTCTTTTCTTTAATTCCTCCTCCCTTTCTTAGTTCCTTCATTCATATTTTCCCTTTTCCTTTTATTTCCTTCTTTTCATTGTGAGAGGTAGGATGTATAATGGTCAAGAAAACACTCAGTTCATACAACTCACTAGTCAGTCATGTGACCTAACACAAATTGTTTAGTTGCTCTATACCTCAGATTTCTCTTCTAAAATAAATATAGTTCTTGCATCATCATCTGCTGAGGGGATTTTAATTCCATAAATTTTAGTTATTATTAGAAAATAAATGTTTCTTTAGACAGAAAATTGTTTTTTCTATAGACATAAAGTTGTTGTTGTTGTTATGTGCTGTTGAATTGTTGTAATGTGCCAAGTTGTTGTTGATGACCATTGTAAGAACCACTAAGGCTTTGTTTTGTTGCTTTCAGATTTAGAGTATCTTGAAATAAACACCTTTAAACAATATGTCAGCAGCAATTTTTGCAGTTGAATAGTTTATGGATGGCTGTTATTTTTTGTTTGTTTATTTGTTTGTTTTCTCAAGAATATATAATTAGTGGGACACATACTGGGCAGCCAGCTGAAAGGTTAGTGATTCCAATCCACTATCCACTAAAGAAAAAAAAAGATGAGGCATTCTCCTTTTGTTAATATTTGCATCCTTGGAAACTCCAGAGAAGGTCACCATAACTTGGAATTGGCAATGAGAATGTTTGAAACACTGGATAGTGTCATAAAAAAATATACTACACAGACAGAAAAAAAAATACACAAGTCATTTAGCAGAATGGTAGCTAGTCTCCTCTGTGAATTAATCTGTGAAAACTCATGACAGTACATTCCCTGTCTTTGTGTCACCTGGCAACATAGCGAAGTGAGGCACAGCATTGCCATAATGACTAAAAAACATCTTAGAAATAACTTATTAGAAATAACAAGTATCTGCAGACAGAAATCTCTCCAAACTTACAACTGTTAACTTTTTGTGATCCAGCATAGAATATGGTCTGACCTGTACTCAATCTTTGAAAGCAAGTAGTGCATTACTGAAAAGTAAACACTAGACACTAATGAATCCAGAATGTCACTCTGAGCTCTGCCATTAGAAACAGTAAATTGATTTCCTGGCTTTCCTGCAAATACAGCCATTTTACCAATAGCCTAATAGGATGTGCAAGTGTTATTTGTATATATCACTTTATTAATGCTTTTTAACACAACTTCTTATTCTAACTTTACTTTAAAAAAAAAACACCAAAACACCAAAGCACATACACTTTCACAAACATCATCTTGCTTCTGTACTTAAATTTGCTGAAACTCAGGACAGATAGAGTAATGGCTATCAGATAATATACAATGACTTTTGACAATCTATGGAAAATTGTGGGCTGTTTCTTCTTTTCTTGTATGGTTAATTCAATTTCAATAGCTATGCAAGTTCTGGGTCTGGCCTTTTCTAATTTCAAGTTAGATAAGTCAACAAGTACTTTACAAAAGAATATTTTCTAATTTTAATTCCCAAACCTATCCTACACCTGGGCTAACAAGGGTAGGTGTGTCAGAGTCAGTGAGACTGAATCAGGATAGGGCAGGGCTCAGCGCTATTGTACACAGGGTGACCAATGAGTCGCAGGTGACACAACAACATATAACAACAACACCACATTTTATTCTTCAGAACTCATGTTCTATCAGTCTTCAGTCCTGGAATTCTAAACCTGTCTTATCTTCTCTAACTTGATGTTTTCCAAATTGTTGACCACACACCACATGTTGCTGAGTGTAAGACTGCACTTTCCCCAGTCCCACTTAAAACATTTGAACAGGATTTTTCAGGATGAGGCTCAGAAATTTTCATTTTAACAAACTTTCCCTCGATTGTAGAAAAGTACTACATGACCTTTATAACAATCGCACAATCAGATTCCAAGGTCCTTTATAACAGTCACTCATTCAAAGATGATTGTTTTTACACAATCAAAGAATTTACAAATATGTAATCCGTGGCTGTCTAAGCCTTTGGGTTTGTTTTGTTGGTATTGACATTATTATTTATCTTTATAATTTCTTTTTAGAGAGAATGCTCTGGTAGCTTAGTAGTAAGAAAGTGTGCTGCAATCTCAAAAGCACACAGTTCAAATCTGCTAGCTACTTCATAGGAGAAAGATGGACAATCTCCCAAACAATTTACTGTCTGAAAACCCACTAGAGTGTCAGCTGTAAGTTGGTTCTTATTCAACAGTATGCAACAACAATTTCTTTTCAAGAGTTTTCTTTTTAAGAGCTTTCAGTTTCTGGCTTCTTCTGAGTAATGGGCAGAATGGAAAACTGATGTTTTTTACTTGCCCAATAGATGAAACTCATGTTCTTCACCTGATAACAAATCCCAGTTCATGTACTTTGTGGGGACCAGCATTCATGTCTGCTTGGTCCCAAAAGGCCTATCAGGTTGCTACATTTACTACATGACACAGAGTAGAGATGTCCATCCTCTGAAAAGTACATTTCTGTCTCTCAGATCTTGATAGTCTAGCTCTTTATTCCACCTGTCGTTATTTTTTTAGGTCGTGAAATGTTGGTTTAGCACTTTTCCAAAAGAA